GATCCGGACGGGAACTCCCGTCAACAGGTTATGAGCGCCCAAGCTCAAGCTCATGATACTCCGCAAGATGAGCGTCAGCAGCAGACGCGTGAAACTGCAGGACCAGTGCTTGCGAACGGCATTTTGCCGAGGGCTGGTGGAGCAGTGCAAGAGGATCTCAATGATCGTGCTGGAGCAAATGGTGGTGTGCCTGTGGACATGGAGGTTCAGGGGGCGATGGTCACCGCTTCAGATATAAGACGTACTGGAGACGATCCGCCTGAAACAGTGGCGCCTGCAGCTACGCTGGAGCAGGCTGGGCGAAGGAGTGCCCGGACGATTCCTGATGTGGCCAGTGGACCGCTGCAGGCAAATGGAACGCCGTCCAGACAATCTATGCTGTCAACGGAATTTCTTACGCCGCGCTCGGCGGCGGCGGTGCATGCGCAGGGAAGCTGGTTGGGGCAGATGGAATGGCCACGATGGATGATGAGACTGGGTTCCTACGTGGGACAAGCTACAGCGGCAGACCTCATTCCAAGCCCCTTGCCCAGTACGAGCTCGCCCCCTGGGGGCGCAGTTTTTACACTCAGGTCGCCACCGAGGCAGCGACCTACTGGAAGACCAGTGACTCCGCCAAGTAGCTCTTCCATACCTGCAGAGGCGATACAACAAGAGGTTCAGCGCCAGCTGGGCGACTTACTGGGAAGATTGGACGAGGCAGAGCGGCATAATGCACAGCTGCTCCAGGACCTGGGAAACGCAAGGGAGGAAGCAGAGAGATGGAGAGTGGGATCGCTACAGGAGAGGCCAAGCCGATTACTCTCGAGCCTGCTGGAGGCCCCGACAGACCCAGGCCCGCTTCAGGATCTTCCAGTGCTACCTCCAGACCCTATCGAATCACTAGGTGTTGGACGTCAGCTACAGGACCTTTACCTAGTACCTCAAGGTCCTACCGTATCGCGGGATGTTGGAAGTCAGCTACAAGATCTTCACCCAGTACCCCAGGGCCCTACCGAACCACAAGATGTCGGACATCAGCTACAGGAGCCTCACTCAGTATCCCAAGGTCCTACCGAGCCGCGAGATGTTGGACATCAACTACAGGAGCCTCACTCAGTACCTCAAGAACCAGCTAATCTACTAAATGCTGGATGGTCGTTAAGGGATCCACCTATCCTACCAAGGGGAGCAGTTGGCAGACCGAGCGTTATACATGGCTATCAACCAGCTGAGCCACCACATGAGCGCCAGAAGCCGACTCAGCAAGGACCGGGGATAGGGTGCCGAACTCAGGGGCCCGAGCCCCAGGGTTTTCTGCGTGGACTTCTTGGGGGAGCAAGAGGACGTTCTCAATCTCCACCACCTGCCAGGGAGCCTCAAGGTCAGGGTTCTCCAATGATAGAAGCGATAGCAAAGGGTATACAGCAACTACAGGAACTGCAAGCGCAAGCCCTTTCTAGAAGCTCCACTACCTCAGCCGAGCCAGTCAAGTCATCCTCAGCAGCACTTCAAGAACTACCTGATGTACGAGGTGGAGCTCAGTCAGCACTACAGTTCCAGGACTGGGTTGAGGTTGCGTCGTCAACAATGGCGGACATCTCGGAGCAGTCAGGTGCGTGGTGGCGAGCAGTGATGATGGTTGTTGAGAGTGCCTATGTACGGTGGCTGAATGCAACCCCATTGGAGCGACTTGCAGTCGGGCCGGAAGGGACTGAGGAGCTGGTCGGGACGAGATGGACTCGACTTAATGCCCGGGTGTCGTCATTGTTGTTGGCGGCGATGGGGCCAGAGCTCCGGTCGGACATGATCTCGCAGCGGATAACGCAGAACACACCCAAGATGATGTTCAGGGTTTTTACGTGGTACCAACCGGGCGGCTCTGCGGAAAGAGAAGAGGTGTTGCGACGTCTTCAGGTGCCGTATGAGTTCGTCGAGGCAGCGGGAAACCTACGGGATATCCTCAAGGAGGTGCGTGAGTGGCCCAGATGGCTGGCAAGATGCACAAAGATGGGGATGATGCCCCCAGACCCGTCAGTGATGGCGCGTGGGCTGTGCCACTTGTCAGAGAAACATCTGCAGGGGTCATCTGACTCTGCGTTCCGGACGGCGATGCTGCGCACCACGCTGAGACTGGACGGACAGCCGACGCTGGACCAAGTCCGCTCGTACCAGAGGCACATCCAAGCAGAGCTGGAAAATCTGGTGGCAGCTCAGCCCGTGTCAGCATCCACGACAACGGCGCCGAGGGCAAGGGCAGTGGAGGTTACTACGACATCGCCAACGACATCTCCGAAGGGAGCCACGAGGACCAAGGACAAGGGTGCTGAGCCGTGCAAGTACTTTGCTAAGCCTACAGGGTGCAAGAGAGGAGACCGCTGTACATACTCCCACAACATGCAGCATATGGACCGAGAAGTTCGAGCCCGAAAGTGCCTGAAATGCGGAAGTGAAAGCCATAGAGCACGGGAGTGCGGTGTGGGAAAACAGCCACCAAGGACACCGGCCCCCACCTCACAACAGCCGTCGAGACCTTCCGATAAATCAGGCACCACAACAGCTCCAGGTCTGTCCACGCTGTCTACGGCATCGTCAACTTTGACTGCAGAGCAGGGAAGTGTACAAGGAACACCCTGGACACTCGAAAGCTTGGTGCAGGCCGCGCAGCAGGTGATCCAGAGCCAGTCCACGGCAGCGACGTCGGGGGACTCCTCTCCAGAAAAGGTTAAGCCAGAGCTCCGTGTACTTTCTCTGCGAGACATAAGGGTTTCATCGGTGGATTCCTCAACCTCTGCCCTACTTGACTCAGGAGCTACACACTGTTTGAGGAATGCAGTGGATGAGGAGGAGTGGACTGCAGCTGATGAGGTTGTCGTTCAGCTGGCGGGCAACAAATCCCTGACGATGAGACTTGGGGCTACGGGATCTTTGTTAATGCCACCACGGCCCAGGTCATCGGCGTCTACGGCAGCTACTGCGGGAGGACAGACGATTGTACCACTCGGAGAATTGGTTAAGACCCTGGGCTACACCCTGAACTGGTCACCTGCAGGTTGTGTACTATGTGATCCTGAGGGTGTACAGCGTGAGCTTAAAGTATCAGGAGGGTGTCCACATTTACATGAAACTGAGGCCCTGGCTATGATCGCAAGGCTGGAGGACCGCAAGCGAGAGAGGCTTGAGAATGAGATGACCCTCACCACGGACAGAGTTGCAATGGCAGCTGCTTCAATGGACAAAGGATGATGGTGGGACTATTTGCGGGAGTATGTGAAGGACGGAGCGGTGGAGTCAGCACTGAGAAGTGTTCGGGATGCCCCGTTCTTACAGGACGTTCCAGGTGAGTGCCTTAGCGGACTGGCTCAGGGTGGTATTCTTGAAGCCGGGTGGAGAAATATGAAAAACATCGACTACCTGACGAGACCCCAGAAGCGACACCTCTGGGCGGCAAAGAAGTGGATAGTTCACCTGTGCGCGGGGAATCCTGGCCACTATCAGTTCTTCCAATTGGATGAAGGAAGCACCGCAGTGCTGGAATTGGATGTGGACCGATGTCGGGGTCATGATGTGCTGCGGGATCCTACGTGGAGACTCCTACTATGGGGCGCCCTTACAGGTCGCATTGATGGTGTGGTGGGAGGACCACCGGGAAGAACGGCGCAACTCTTGAACAACAAGAAGGGGACCACTAGGGACATCAAGGCCCTGGGCGTGATCACAAGGATGATGTGGTTGTATGCGGTCTCTACGGCGGCACGAGAGTCAGGAGCTGGTGGGTTGAACCGTAAACGCCCAGTGGCCTTCGCCCTTGAGCATCCGGCAGAGAGTGTCAGAGGATCGCAGTCGATATGGAGAACATCATTGTGGGCCCAGTTCCGAGCGGAGATGGAGTTCTCAGAGGTGACGTTCGACCAGGGACTAACGGGGGCCGAGCACAGAAATATTACAACGCTGGGAACCAATGTCTACTATTTGATGGGCATGGACGGGATCACTTCCGAAGCAGAGGAGGATCAGCAGCAATCACGGGGAAGTGACAATGGAGTTTGGTCACCAGGACTGGTCAGCGGGATGGTGATGGCACTTCGGTTTTGGAACAGACACCCGCGATGCTACCCGTCATTGCGAGCACTGACGACAAAGCAGTGGCAGCAACATGTACAATCAGGGCA